TTATTGCATATGATTGTAAAGTGGCTAACTATATGTATTAATTAATTATATAGTGTCAGTGATAATGATGAAACATTGACTTATTTTAATATGAAATTTTAAAATTTTTGTGATGTTTTTTTTGGCTTTTTTTTTGTAGTTAAGTTAGGGTTTAGGGCTAGTGTTTATAATAAAAAGGTATAGGTGGATTTCAGTAAGATTTATATTTATAAATTGAGACCCCACATTTCAGCATCATCCCCAACATATAGTAATATAAGTTAGTATAATTGAATTTCTAGATTACTCAGCTTTACTTTTTTATTACTGAGCGATAACAAGTACATGCTTGTTTATTATTGTTAATAGAAAAATGTCAATTCTTCAAATTAAAAATAGAAAGCAACAATAGACAGGATTAAGTTTTCTTATTATAATGGAAAAAAAAACAGGAATGATATTTACCAACTTAAATGTTTATATAATACTGGAGCTTATTCTTTTATATATTTTTAAAAGCAGTGTATGAATGTAGTATTAAATCTAATTGTACATATTACATTCCTGGTTTTAGCGCAACTACGTTACGCTGTTCTTCTAATATCTAAATAACTATAAAAATGACAAACAAAATTTCTTTTTATAAAATTAGAAAGAATTAATGATTAAACCTAGCTGTCGCACCAATTTTGTCATGAGTGATTCTTGATTTTGATTGGCTATAAGCAATGATCAATAATTTGGCCAATGTTACTCAAATTTTTACTAATGAAACCACTGCCGCACATTAAGTGAAAAATATTCCTGGGCTAATTTTACTATTATACAAGCCTATTTCTCTAAAAATTTCTATTTTGGGAATAAAAAAGTTAAAAAGTTAATTCTAGCCAAAATTTTGTAGATCACAGCTATTAGCCAATCAAAATCGAGAATCATCTGTAACAAAATTGGTGCGGCAGCTATATCTAATTAATAGATCTTTAACTAGAACATGTTCATGCGGGCAGCTTCGCCTCCTATAATATGCTAAATATAATAGATTTGTTTGTTTTATTTTTACTTTTACTTCAGAAAGAAGATTTTCTTAAACTTTTTCTATCATTAGATGTTCTGTCCTGAATTTATTATATCAATTTGGGCCCCTCTGAGTGAATTAAATATAAAGCATTTCCTTTTTATCATTAGATATTCTATTTGATGCACTAATTTGGGCCCCCCCTAGGGATAAAGCTGGTGCATTAGATTCAAAGCATTTCCTTTTTGTTGTTAGATATTTCATTTTGAATTTGATGCACCAATTTAGGCAAAAGCTTATACATTAGATTTTAAGCACTTTGAATTTAATGTATTTATTTGGGCCCCTCCGGGGCCAAAGCTAGTGCATTAGATCTTCTGACCCAGATCTACATTGGTAAATCACATTTTTAGAATGTGGCGAAGCATAAAATTGATCTCCACCATGCAGATAGTATGACAAATCATGTAAATTTTGTGTTGGTCGGCTGAGTTAATTATTCTTTTGTTGTAGTTCTTTTGCCTTTCGCCATGTTCTTGACGATCAGTAATTATCAATTCGTAAAATTTAAAAAAACTCGAAAAGAAACATGACAATAGATAGGAATGGGTATATAAGCACCAAAAGTATATTTTCTTTACTAGAATTTAAGTTGTTTTCAAACAGTGTACACATACAATATAGTACAGTATATAGTATAGTACAGACAAAATTTTAAAGAGTTAATAAGGGTTAATTATAAGATTCGATTACTTTAAGCTTAAATTATATACAAAGTTTTCTATATATGTTTTTAAATATGCAATATCTATATAGACATTATTTTATTAATAAATTGTATTTTGGTGATAATTTTAATGTATATTTTTATGATTCGTGAGAAATTAAAAATTTTACTCTATCACGCTTGTGATTCCGCGTGGATGTGCAGGATTTTTAAAATCTGCGATTTGTCTATTACTAGTGAAATAGTATGACTGTTCTATAGTTAATAATTACAAGAAAATCCTCAAATACAGATGGTAAAGAAAAATGCAATGATGACCCTTCTGGTAGATTTAAAGTAACAACAATAACTTCTCTTTCATCAACTAGCCCAAAATTTATTACTGATATTTCATCTCTTCTAAATTTCTTCTAAAAAGCTCTCTTAGCAGAAATAAGTTGTTTAAAATTTACTTCATTTTGAAGTGGAAGAACTTTTCGATTACCAAGTCATTCCATTTTATCTATAAATTGTATTTTTTTTTAAAATAAAAAAAAGGACATTTTATCTGAATTTCAATTTTAATTTTAACTATATTTGTGAAGAAGAAATGTTTATACACCTTCTTTAAATCTTTATTGAGCTTTCATTGTCTAAGTACTCATTTATGAAAATTGATCCAAAATAATCATTCATTTGATGCATGCAAGTGAAACTAGAAATAAATTAATTTATCAAAAGATCACATTACAGTACTAAATTGAAAGAGATTCACTTATTATTAAATTTAGTAATTTGATCTCTTTTTTAGAATCTAATTTACGAATTTCTTTCACTTTTTCAATGAATTTTGAAAATGAATCTAGCAAATGTTCTAACTTATTGATAAATTTTATTCGAATTCCCATATCAGTGCAAACAATTTTACATTCTAGCTCGAAAAAATCTTCTTTAAAATAATCTTATCCATAGGAACAAGTTCTTTTCTTTTTACACAATTTTTAAAAGTGAGCTGATAACCTGGCAATTCAATGATAATATGTATATACTTTTTGTCCAGTTCGTGAGGAAAATATTTGGAAATCTTATCCATTTCAATTAATATCTTGCCTCCAAGTTTTTTTTTAATATTTAGATCGTCAAAGAGGATATTCAATTTCTTACTTGTTTCATTGACATTTCAAAATTTAATCTTAATATTATTAAAATGGGCAATTTTTTGCTTTTTTCCTTTAATAATCTCTTGAAGCCTGCTAACAGTCACTTCAACATCTACTTCAACTGAAAAAATATTAGCAACATCAGGAGTATCACCATGAATAAGGCAATTTAGTTCAATAGTAGGCATGATCCAACTATTATAAATAAGAAAATATTAACAATCTTTTATTAGTGATTAATTCGAATGCCTAAATTACATATATTTTTCAGGGCCAAATAATGCAACTTTCAGCAATGGAAAAAGATCCAATGATGAAAAGAATGATGCCAAAATGAAAAGAATAATACCGGTAATATAAAGGACTTAGAATTTTAAAAGTTTTAGTTATTTTGCATTCTGAGAAGACCCACTAAATTTGCCTACCAAAAGTCCAATAAAGAAAAACAACCACACAGAAGCGAAGATTGTTGGAAGGCTAACAAAGATAACTACTGCACAAGTAAGTCCAGAAACGAAAGACATTTTTGTATGTATAATAATATATTATTATTAATAACTTATTTAGCAAACACTACATAGCCTTAAATAACAGAAAGAATGTAATTACGCAGTTAATATCAAATATAAACCCAGTTGCAAGATAGAAATTTAAAAACGATCATTTGTTGGAGATTTGGATTTACTGATTTTCCTCAAGTTTCTACTGGTCATCAGTAAATCGTATGATAGTCGCGGATCAGATACATACACGTATATTATCCGTGTTTGCTTTATAGAGCTTTTACAGTATTTTATGGTGCATTTTATAGTTTTTTTTTTTTTTTTTTTTTTGCTATTTTATGATACATTTTACGGTGCTTTTTTTTTGTTGTTGTTGTTTTACGGTATTTTTATTATTTTTAGTATTTTCTGACCTTATTTATAGCACTTTTTGATGGCAAAATAGGACTTCGATCATATAAATCTTATATGATTGAAGTCCAATTTTCCCTTAGCGTCATTCATTTTATGGTGCATTTAACGGTACTATATATCACTAGATAGCTTCGCAACGTCATCGCACAAACCAGGAACGGAATTTAACTAACTACTCAAGATTTGCTTAAATGCAGGAAAAATAATTGCTTTTTTTAAAAATTTAGATTGTATATAAATATAAATTATTTATACTTCTTCATTTTAACCACAGTTCCTAAGTAATAATTAATTAACCATTCGACTTGATATATTTCGTCAGAATTGTCCAAGCCTGCGAATTTTAGATGCATATCATTCTGCCGATTATAATTAGTTGTTTTTTCTTTAATAAATGTTACTGAAAGTTGAAAGCGTTGTATACCAAAAGTATTTTTGACTTTTGACAATGATGCTACAATTCGTAACGATACAATATTGGTGCTCCAAATCTCGATTGAAATTTGAAATTTAATCTAATCAAGAATGTAATTCTAATTTTCCAATTTGATAACACAATGAAAAGCATATGGAATCTGTACACTATCGTTACAGGCTCCATCTTCTATAACTAAAATATTATATCTCTAAAGAAAACAATTCTATTCAACTAACCGGCTAGAAACTCACTCTGACGTATTGAGACTACTATGTCTATAAAAACCCACTTATAATCTCTAACCTAACTATAATATCTAAGCATACGCGAATAAGTCGTCGAGGAGAGTTCTATTTAGCTTCAAAAAGAACCGATTATGTAGTCATTCATGAAGTGATAAAAATGCTGCTAGGTTCAACAAAGGGGTACTTGCACTACTGTTGCAGCTGCGAAGCCCAAAACCCATCTTACGAAGGTCTTTGCATTGTTGCTGCATCTGCGGTGCCCAATTACCACACAACGAGGTCCTTGCACTGCCACTGCAACTATGAAGTCTAACTACCACCAAGCAAGGTCCTTACACTGCTACCTCAGCCGCAGTGCTTACTATTACCATTTAACCTATTAAACAAGTGCTATTAATTACCTTAGTTGCAGAGTCACAAAAATGAGTGATAATAAAGAGGAAATAACTTCACCCTGCTGAACAACTTGCTGAACAACTTTTAAATAACTTATTATCAAAAACGGTTTCTTTCCTGCTTTGTTAACAAGCTCTTCATTAAAATTTTATTTTTATTTTTTTTTTAAAAAAACTGGTAATGGACTAGAAAAGAACTAGATACTTATTCGCACATGAAGCTATCATACGTACTCCCAAATTTAGAAACAATTAAATACACAAATCTGGCCGTATGACCATACACTCTGATATTTTCACTCCGCTCCTGATATTTATAGTGCATTGCTTAATGCAATTTCAAGGTGTTTTTATTGCTAATTATTTAATAAATTATTTAGACTATATAGCAATAATGCAAGGAATATAGTTTAATATATATCTCTTGTATTAATACTATATTTTTGTCTTGATAATTATATAATATATAAGAAAGCCTATAGCAAAAGATGATTTTTGAGCAACTAATTAAATTCGAGATTTTCCAAATAACAAATAAATATTTTTATAATAATAATTTTCTTAAGAATTAAATCTATTAATAAAAATATAATTTTACTTATTTTTTATTTAAAATTGCTTTATACAAGATTAGAATAGTTATTAATTTGTATCAAGATAATATCATAGATTAAAATTTAAACTATTTATTATATCCTGTATAATTACTTAATATAACAAATTATCTTTTATTTTTTATTTTAAAACTAATTTATATCTAGCTACTATTGGTTAAAAGAAGAAAGAGAAGATACGATATAAATATTTTATAAAAGAATCTATAAAGTAAAGATAATATATAGTTTGTTTAAATAAAATATAAAAATTTATTAATTATTTAGATTAATATATTTGTATATAGATAAAATATAAAATAATAATAGATAAGTATTTGTATAGTATTAAAAGTAGATATATATTGTTTAATTTAAAAAGTAATTCTAATATATCTGGTATTTTGAATTAAGAAAAGAAGAGATTAATAAAAATTTTTAAAATTTAAAATTTTTTAATTATTCATTGTATTTCTTGTAATGCATAAAATTAAAAGTGAAATAATAATTAAATCACAAACAATTTATTACGTATTTCGTATCGAGTTAAACTGTAGAAATATTAATCCACAATGCGCAAATTTTTCATGTCAGGATGTGCATCGAATAAAAAAGAAAAGCCCTAATTAATCAAAAATTATAAGAAATGAAGTTTTTCTTTCTATCCCATTAATATTGCTCTGTACTTCACTACTTGGCGTTATCGATTAAATACTTGAAATTAGATAATATTTTAAAAGCCAAAGAAGCAACGCTAAAACAGAATGAGAATGAGCATGCTTGTATTATCAAAAAATATCTTTGTAAAATTTGTCATTTGGGTGGAATTAAACGAATTATATGTAATTATTGCAATTAGATTTACTGCTGAAACTATTTTGACCTATTCCAACTAATTACGATATAAGCTGTAATGACTTCCATACAAGTCGAAATATTTCGGTCACATGTATAATATAGCATGAGCGACGCCCAAAGAAAACTAGATTTTGGATTCGGCTTTTAAATCTAAACCTACCCTAATAAATCCGAAGAATTTTGTCCGGCGTGTTAAAAATTTAGGAGTCCAGAGTTTTTGTTTTTCTTGGCATCACTTATATAAATCATCAATTTAGTTCAACGCGCATCTCCACTTCAAATTTCACTCGGACAAAATTCAGTTTTAAATTCACATCCATTTTAATTTCACGCACAACATTTACATTACCAGTCAACTCTACTCATGTTAATTGCTCTATCTGTATGTTAGGTCTTTCGACAATTACTTATTGTTGTAATATTGAATAATTTCCGGGTGCGCTGCTTTCGGCAGTTGAGTGCCGCAATTTTGGTGATTACCTTGTAAATATTTGCAATTGTAACAATAGCTCGAAGTTACACATTCAAGCTAAGATAGATATAGAAAAAACAAATTCCACAAATATTATACATTAATGAATCTTTGGTTAAAAAAGGTAAACAAAAACAAATATATTTGATTATAATATTACCTAATCGTGTAATATGTTTCTGGACTGCGCAATGTATCATAATTTGTCATTGTACGCTAATATATATATATATATATATACGCCATGTTTATTTGCATTATATGTAGGCTGTCGAGATTACTTTCATTTGCAGAGATACGTTTAAAATCAGAGAATAGTCAAACTATTAGTGTGGTTATCTAATTTAAAGACTTTACATATCAATAATACATCGTATTTATAAATTATATATAATAATACTATTAAAAAGGTCTGAAAAAAATAAATAAAATGAGTGAAGATATAAGAAACATATTATTAATTGGTCGTACAGGCCAAGGCAAATCATCCTTAGCCAATACAATAGTAAATGATGAGAAATGTTTTGAAGAAGGAGGTGAATTCAATGAAATTTTTAAAGAGAGTGATAAATCTCTTAGTCAAACTAAAAAGATTCAAGAAGAAATATTTAATATAGACAGAAAAGTAAATGGAAAAGTGGAGAGTGTGAAATATCGAATCATTGACACTGTCGGAATTGGAGACACATCTTTGAGCCAAAGAACAGTGCTAGTTGAGATAGCTAAAGGATGTAAAAAGGTCAAAAAAGGGATAAATCAAATTTTATTTGTTCTTGAAACGATCCTTTCGCTTCTTCTGACCCTTCTG